AGTGCAGCGTGTGACACCAACAATGCTGGTAACATATTGCTATTGTTCACTCTAGCAGGCTGAGTGCAGTGTGTGTCACCAACCATGCTGGTAACATATTGCTATTGCCGACTCTAACAGGCTGAGTGAAGCGTGTGACACCAACAATGTTGGCAACATATTGTCATTGCCCACTCTAACACGCTGAGTGCAGTGTGTGTCACCAACCATTCTGGTAATATATTGTCATTGTCCAATCTAACAGGCTGAGTGCAGTGTGTGTCACCAACCATGCTGGTAACATATTCCTATTGCCGACTCTAACACGCTGAGTGAAGCGTGTGAAACCAACCATGCTGGTAACATATTGTCATTGCCATCTCCAGCAGGCTGAGTGCATCGTGTTACAGTAACAATGCTGGTAACATATTGCTATTGCCCACTCTAACAGGCTGAGTGCAGCGTGTGATACCAACCATGCTGGTAACATATTGTCATTTCCAACTTTAACAGGCTGAGTGCAATGTGTGACACCAACCATGCTGGTAACATATTGCTATTGCCCACACTAACAGGCTGAGTACAGCGTGTGACACCAACCATGCTGGTAACATATTGTCATTGCCTACTCTAACAGGCTGAGTGCAGTGTGAGTCACCATCCATGCTGGTAACATATTGTCATTGGCCACTCTAACAGGCTGAGTACAGCGTGTGACACCAACAATGTTGGTAACATGTTGTCATTGCCCACTCTAACACGCTGAGTAAAGTGTGTGTCACCAACCATGCTGGTAACATATTGTCATTGCCCACTCCAGCAGGCTGAGTGCATCCTGTGACACCAACCATGCTGGTAACATATTGCTATTGCCCACTCTAACAGGCTGCGTGTAGCGTGTGACACCATCAATGCTGGTAACATATTGCTATTGCCCACTCTAACAGGCTGAGTGCAGCGTGTTACACCTATGATGCTGGTAACATATTGATATTCATTCTAACAGGTAACATATTGCTATTGCCCACTCTAACAGGCTGAGTGCAGCGTGTTACACCTATAATGCTGGTAACATATTGATATTCATTCTAACAGGCTGAGTGCAAAGTGTTACACCTATAATGCTGGTAACATGTATATAATGCCCTCATTACACTTTTGTAAATAAAGTTAAACTAACATGGTTTAAAAGGAAAGATTTACAAAGTTAAAACCCTATCAGTAATAATAAATTCTTTTTTGCCATGCTCGCTGATATGACCGTGGTAACGGCGGTCCATACCGTAGTCAATAAACATTGCTCGGCTTTCGATATGGCATTAGTGTGTAAGGATAAGAACGACAGTTTTACATGTCTCTTTGTACATTATGCAATGTTGTATTTATTCTGTGGACGAAACACAAATGTGAAATCTATAGATCCTCTCAAATCTCTCTTCAAACTTCAGAATATTTATTTTCCAACTGACATCGGAGATAAGTGAATGTGAATGGCGGGCATCATAAGTTGATTCCTTACAAGGAGTAGGACCCATTATAGATGGAAATCGATACTCGAGACAAGGATTACATATATCAAACGAAATACGGTCATATCACTCCTTTGTTTACAAGCCTTTTATAACGCTGATACTGGTCTACAGGTCAATCGTATTGATTTTTCTTCCCTTCCATTAATAATTCTGTTTACGCGATATCTTATTAGAGCGATGGGCTTTAATTGACGAGGGAGTGATTATTAGATGACCATGCTATTTCTAGAGCTACATGTGCCTAGCTCCGCTATTTACATTAAGTATAAAACTATAGCAACCGTATATAGATCATACACTCTCAGTAAGACCTATAACACAACCAGCTGTCTTAAACCTATCTGCTGTTCTTTTTAATTACCAATTCTTGTAAATCTCGTAGATTGATGGATGGGTACGGATTAATTGAAGGATTTGTGATGAGTTGATACGTGGATATATGGATGGATCTGTCATGGATTGATAGATAATTGGATGAATCTGTAATGTATGTTCGAACATATCCATCCATCTCCCCCCTCTACCCATCATAGATCCATCCATCTCAACCAAACAACCCATCATAGATCCATCCTTCTATTCCCCTGCACCCATAAAAGGTAAATCCATCTCTCCCCTTCCACCCATCATAGTTCAATCCATCTCTCCCCCTCCACCAATCATTTGTCCATCCATCTCTTCCCTTCCACCCATTATATGTCCATCCATCTCTCACCTTCCACCTATCATATGTCCATCCATCTCTCCCCTTTTACCCATCAAATTTCCATCCATCTCTCCCCTTCCACCCATTATATGTCCATCTATCTCTCCCCCGCCACCCATCATTTGTCCATCCATCTCTTCCCTTCCACCCATTATATGTCCATCCATCTCTCCCACTCTCCCCACCGTATGTCCATCCATCTCCCCCCTCCACCCATCATATTTCCATCCATCTCTCCCCTTCCACCCATTATATGTCCATACATCTCGCCCCATCATAGTTCCATCCATCTCTCACCCTAAACCCATCATTTGTGCATCCGTCTTTTCCAAACCACAAATCATAGGTCCATCAATCTCTCCCCCTCCACCCATTATATATCCATCCATCTCTCCCCTTCCACCCATTATATATCCATCCATCTCTCCCCTTCCACCCATTATATATCCATCCATCTCTCCCCTTCNTCTCTCCCCTTCCACCCATTATATATCCATCCATCTCTCCCCTTCCACCCATTATTTGTCCATTCATCTCTCCCGCTCCACCTATCATATGTCCATCAACCTCCCGCCCACCACACATATTATGTCCATCCATCTCTCCCCATCCACCCATTATACTTCCATCCATCTCTCCCTCTCCACTCATCATATGTCCATCTATCTCTCACCCTCCACCCATCATATGTCCATCTATCTCTCGCCCTCCACCCATCATATGTCACTCCATCTCTCCCTCTCCAACCACCTTATATCTATCCATCTCTCCCACTCCACCAATCATAGGTCCATCCATCTCTCACCCTCCTCCCACCTGGGGTTCATCCATCTCTCCCCCACCACCAATCATATGTAGATCCCCCTCTCCCCTCCACCCATCATAGGTCCATCAATCTCTACCCCTTCACCTATCATAGATCCATCCATCTCATCCTCTCCACAAATCATATATCCATTAACCTCTCCCCCACCACGCATATTATGTCCATCCATCTCCCCCTCCACCCATTATATGACCATCCATCTCTCCCTATTCACCCATCATACATCGGTCCATCCATCTCTCCCCTTCCATCCATCATATGTCAATCAATCTGTCCCCCTCCAGCCATTATATGTCCATCCATCTCTCCCCCTCTCCCCATCATAGTTCCATCCATCTCTCCCCCTCCACCCATCATATGTCCATCCATCCTTCCTCCACTACCCATCATAGATCAATCCATCTCACCCCCTCAACCTATCATAGATCCATCCATCTCCCCCTCCACCAATCATATGTCAATCAACCTCTCCACCACCACACATATTATGTCCATCCATCTCTCCCCCTCCATCCATTATATTTCCATCCATCTCTTCCCTTCCACCCATTATATGTCCATTCATCTCTCCCCCTCTCCCCACCATATGTCCATCCATCTCTCCCCTTCCACCCATCATAGTTCCATCCATCTCTCCCATTCCACCCGACATTTGTCAATCCATCTCTTCCCTTCCATCCATTATATATCCATCCATCTCTCCCCTTCCACCCATCATTTGTCCATCCATCTCTTCCCTTCCGCCCACTATATGTCCACCCATCTCTCTCCCTCTCCCCATCATAGTTCCATCCACCTCTCCCCCTCCACCCATCATTTGTCCATCCATCTCTTCCAAACCACAAATCATAGGTCCATCAATCTCTCCCCCTCCACCGATCACAGTTCCATCCATCTCTCCACCTCCCCCATCATTTGTCCATCCATCTCCTCCCTTCCACCCATTATATGTCCATCCATCTCTCCACTTCCACCCATCATAGTTCCATCAATCTGTCCCCCTCCACCGATCATAGTTCCATCCATCTCTCCCCCTACCCCCATCATTTGTCCATCCGTCTCTTCCCTTCCACCCATTATATGTCCGTCCATCTCTCCCTTTCCACCCATCATATGTCCATCCATCTCTCCCTCTCCAACCACCTTATATCTATCCATCTCTCCCCCTCCACCAATCATAGGTCCATCCATCTCTCCCCCTCCACCCATTATATGTCCATCCATCTCTCCCTCTCCAACCACCTTATATCTATCCATCTCTCCCCCTCCACCAATCATAGGTCCATCCATCTCTCCCCCTCCACCCATTATATGTCCATCCATCTCTCCACTTCCACCCATCATAGTTCCACCAATCTCTCCCCCTCCACCGATCACAGTTCCATCCATCTCTCCACCTCCCCCATCATTTGTCCATCCATCTCCTCCCTTCCACCCATTATATGTCCATCCATATCTCCCCTTCCACTAATCATTAGTTCCATCCATCTCTCCCATTCCACCCGACATTTGTCAATCCATCTCTTCCCTTCCATCCATTATATATCCATCCATCTCTCCCCTTCCACCCATTATATGTCCATCCATATCTCCCCTTCCACTAATCATTAGTTCCATCCATCTCTCCCATTCCACCCGACATTTGTCAATCCATCTCTTCCCTTCCATCCATTATATATCCATCCATCTCTCCCCTTCCACCCATTATATATCCATCCATCTCTCCCCTTCCACCCATCATTTGTCCCTCCATCTCTTCCCTTCCGCCCACTATATGTCCCCCCATCTCTCTCCCTCTCCCCATCATAGGTCCATCCACCTCTCCCCCTCCACCCATCATTTGTCCATCCATCTCTTTCCTTCCGCCCACTATATGTCCACCCATCTCTCTCCCTCTCCCCGTCATAGTTCCATCCACCTCTCCCCCTCCCCCCATCATTTGTCCATCCATCTCTTCCAAACCACAAATCATAGGTCCATCAATCTCTCCCCCTCCACCGATCACAGTTCCATCCATCTCTCCCCCTCCACCCATCATATGTCCATCTATCTCTCGCCCTCCACCCATCATATGTCCATCCATCTCTCCCTCTCCAACCACCTTATATCTATCCATCTCTCCCCCTCCACCAATCATAGGTCCATCCATCTCTCCCCCTCCACCCATCATATGTCCTTTCATCTCTCCCCTTCCACCCATGATATGTCCATCCATCTCTCCCCCTCCACCCATCATTTGTTCATCCATCTCTTACAAACCACAAATCATAGGTCCATCAATCTCTCCCCCTCCACCCATCATATGTCCATTCATCTCTCCACTTCCATCCATTATATGTCCATCCATTTCTCCCCCTCCAGCCATCATATGTCCATCCAACTCTCCGCTTCCACCCATTATATGTCCATTCATCTCTCCCCTTCCACCCATCATATGTCCATCCATCTCTCCCTCTCCAACCACCTTATATCTATCCATCTCTCCCCCTCCACCAATCATTTGTCCATCCATCTCCCCCTCCACCCATTATATGTCCATCCATCTCTCCCTCTCCAACCACCTTATATCTATCCATCTCTCCCCCTCCACCAATCATAGGTCCATCCATCTCTCCCCCTCCACCCATCATATGTCCTTTCATCTCTCCCCTTCCACCCATGATATGTCCATCCATCTCTCCCCCTCCACCCATCATATGTCCATTCATCTCTCCTCTTCCACCCATGATATGTCCATCCATCTCTCCACCTCCAGCCATCATATGTCCATCCAACTCTCCGCTTCCACCCATTATATGTCCATTCATCTCTCCCCTTCCACCCATCATATGTCAATCCAACTCTCCCCGTCCACCCATTATATGTCCATTCATCTCTCCCCCTCACCCCACCCATATGTCCATCCATCTTTCCCCTTCCACCCATCATATACCCATCCATCTTTCCTCCCCCCATTATATATCCATCCATATCTCCCCTTCCACCCATTATATATCCATCCATCTCTCCCCTTCCACCCATCATATGTCAATCCAACTCTCCCCGTCCACCCATTATATGTCCATTCATCTCTCCCCCTCACCCCACCCATATGTCCATCCATCTTTCCCCTTCCACCCATCATGTATCCATCCATCTTTCCCCTTTCAACCATTATAGTTCCATCCATCTCTCCCCCTCCAATCATCATTTGTCCATCCATCTACCCATCTTTTGTCCATCCATCTCTTCCAAACCACAAATCATAGGTCCATCAATCTCTCCCCCTCCACCCACATTCATCTCTCCCCCTCACCCCATCATAGTTCCATCCATCTCCCCCTCTCCTCCCATATGTCCATCCATCTTTCCCCTT